ACTCAGGACCTACAGGAATTTTACAAGTCTTAAGAAGTAAATAAAACTTTAGTCTTAGGAAGCCCCCAGAAGTTCATTAAGATTCATCAGCTCTCCCCACCCAAGCTTCTCCAGGCTAGAGATAGACTCTCCCTCTTGTTGCACTGCCTGTGAGATGTACCCTAAGGATGCAGCTTTTATGGGCTGTCACCCAGGCTGGAATGCGCATTTCAGTGATGTGGCTGCATTCCAGTCACCCATGCTGGGTATTTTGTTTTGTTTTGTTTTAATTTATTTTTATTTTTACGTGCATTGTTGTTCTGCCTTCATGTGTGTCTGTGTGAGGGTCCTGGGACTGGAGTTACAGACAGTTGTGAGCCTCCATGTGGGTGCTGGGAATTGAACTTAGGTCCTCTGAAAGATCAGCCAGTGCTCTTAACCACTGAGCCAACTCTCCATCCACACTGTTTTAGGTAACCATTTACACACACTCCTGTAAGCAGCCTCAGTAAACTCCCTAAACTCGGGTGCAATCGTTGCTTTGTCATAAGTGCCATGTCTGGGGTTCATGTCTCACCAGGAAAGAACATGCAACAGAGCTGTCCTTTACTTGCCAGCTGGATAGCCTGGGAAAAGAATTCCCTCCCACAGGTGTCTTCCTGTCTTCTGCTGCCTGACCACGTACTGGCCACTAGGAGGCGTGCCAGCAACAGGCTTGGCCCTCAGCTCCAAGAATGGCGGCCCCAGAGAACAGAACGCTACCCAGCACAGAGTATCACCCTTGGCTCCTGGGAAGCTTCCTGCTTTCTGGGGTTGGAGCATGTTCGTCCTCGCCTTTTCCTGCATCTCTCTTCCTCACGGTGGATTAATGTTCTGCAATGTCTGGTAGACAGAGTCGAGGCTCTCCAGCAGACCCGCCCCCATAACAGGTTTTGGTGACTGGGTGTGGGAGTCTGTGTAAAAAACCCCAGGCTCAGCAAATCATGCACCTTGATCCAAGTGGGGTCCTGGAGGGGCCAAGAAAAAGAGACTGACTGGGTAGAGGTAGCAGAGTTCATCCCACACCAAGCAGCCCTCACCTGGACGCTGAGGCTCGGTTTAGGGAGCCTATATCACACTCCACCTCTCACAAACCTCTCTTGGAAGCAGCTCTTGGAAGATGCTTTAAGGTTCAGGTGTAGGTGCATGAAGGGAAGAGGGGCCCTCATCATCCTTCTGATAGCTGCAAAGGGCAGGGTTTGCCACGCAGACCTGCCAGGGTGTTAACCCTGTGTCCACCCATGTGAGCTTGCAGGGTAGTGGCTGCAGTGAAATGGGCTAGCCTGCTTGCCATCAAGGAGAACTGCATGTTTGGGTATTTGCTGAAACCTCTCCCTCAGTCAGCCTTACAGCCTCACCACACTCAGTGGACTGCCCAAATCCAAGAAGCACACAGGAGTCTAGGCAGCAGCAGGAACCCATTGCATGGGATGGGAAAGCAGCTTTCCTACGGTCCCTAGGGCTGTACACCACTTAGGCCTCTCCCAGATGCCTCTCATTAGCTTATACTGAGTCACCCTTCCCACCCCAACATACACATCTAGGTGAGTTGCCACTGAGCATCCTAAGGAATGAGGTCATCCTGGTAGCTAGACTCACCTTGGACCATGGTTGTGTGCAGTGCCCTCATAACTCTAAGACTGGGGTCTCTTTACCGCCTTGGGGAAGTAGAATCTTAGGGTTGGGGCCCGGGCACAGTGTCCTTCCCACATGGGACTTGGGGAGAGTCTGCCCTTTCTAGGATGGAAATGTCTTTCAGGCCAGTTGCTAGACCCTACTACATGCTGCAAGTAACAAGTACCAGAGGTTCCACAGTCCCACTCACCACTCCACACAGCCACAGTATTTCTAGATCATTTATTTCCAAGTAGAAAAATAAATGGAACAAGTACAAAATCAGAGGGGATGGAGTCATGTCTGTCCCCATCTTCCATGCTGGGGAGCAGGTAAAAGCTTCCTGTTCTGGGGCAGACACTGTGTTATGTCATCAGCTCTTGGTGCCCTCCAAGACCCAGCCCTCAGCCTTTAAAGGCAGTCCCCGTCATGGCCAAGGAGGAAGCCATGGGGACCCTGGGAACCAGAAAGGAAGGGACAAGGAAAATGCCAAATGGTGTCTTACAGGCCAAGAACCATCAGGGCAAGGAAGCCCAGGCTTATTGCCAGAGCAAATGGTGTCTTACAGGCCAAGAACCATCAGGGCAAGGAAGCCCAGGCTCATTGCCAGGCCCAGGGTGGCATTGCTGAACAGGGCACGTGCAGGTGCGGCGCTGTACAGCCTCTCGTTGCACAGGTCACCCTGGCAGCATTGTGTGACCCAGGAACCGCTGCTGATCTGGCCCTGCTGGCTGTTGTTGGAAGTGCATGAGTCTACACAGTCTTTCTTCACCAGATTCCCCGTCAGAGTGTCCACTGCACACAGGAGAGGAAAAGGCATCAGGCCTGGCTTACCATGCACCCTGGCTCCCACAGAGCACCCTACATTCCCAACCACCACCATCACCATGACTGACCCATCTCTAGTATCATGCCTAGGGCTGCTCTCTTGGCCCTGGCGGGTACTTAGACCAAGACTCACCTGTGGTAACAGTTTTGCAATACTGGGAGCTGGCTGGGCAGGTCTGAGGTTGTTTACAGTTGGTGCTGCTGCTGCACACATGACACCGGAGTGCACAGGCTGGAGGATGAAGGGGCAGAGAGTCAGTCAAGTAAAGGCCTTTGCCATGACAGAGTCTTCTGTTATTTGTCACCTCAACTCCTGCCCTGAACCCCACAAGGCTTATGTCTTGTGTTTAGCTCAGAGGGTGTCTGGATATCATCCCTTGGAGCCCTAGAGAGTTGTTCTAACATGGAAGGTATTCTATCCTATGTCACCTCTGGGAAGAGGTGAGGAAGCAGAGAGGGTGTAGAGTGGAGAGAGCCCTTCTCTGAGGACCTTGGGATGGTCCTGGTCTTTGCTAAGGACGGAGCTGTCCCCACCCCAATGATCTGGATTCCTGAAGAACCTGGAGCAAGAGGGCCTTGGCCACCCCAGGACTGTCCAGAACAGATGTAAGGTGGGGGTCGTGGTAGAGGAAGCCTCTTCAATAGCTCCAGTTCTCCTCCCTCTCAAAACACTCCCAGTTCTAAGGGTTAGTGCTAAAATCCCCTGATTCTGAAATATTGCATTTTTATGATTTCATTGAGTTAAGATGTTAAAGTCATTTTGTTTTAAAGAGGCAAGCATCCCTCAACATCAGTGTTCTCTAAGCCTAAATTCCAACTTCTAGTATTTGATGACCTCTTTGTCAGGTGCAGCCTGCCAGACACTGAGGGTCCAGTATCTAGACAAAGCTACCTACCCCTTCCCAGTTCCCCAGGTGCAGTCTCTCACCTGGGCTAGTGGCTAAAGCCACAGCAAGAAGGAGTAGCAGAGCTGTCGTCATCCTAAGCGTTGTCTGGAAGCAGTGGGGCTCTTCCTCTCCCCAGACCTTATAGATAGGGCAGGGGCTGTGGGAGGAGTGAGGGCAGGCCTGACAGTAGCGTGCTAATCAGGGTTCACCCCACCCTTCCTGGACCAAGTCCAGAAGCCCAGAACAGGCCTGACTCCTGCCAGCTGGAGGGATTGAGGTTCCTAGTCCCTCACTTCTGGGGCCTCCCTGAGCAGGGCTGGCCTTGTAGGCTGTTTAGTCCCTGCTTCAGACACCTGATGCTGTTGAGACTCCATCTCTCCCACTGTTGTCTCTGTTTTCCTTGTTGGTTGCCTGCCTATTCCTGGGTCACATTGTCGTGGACTTGCACTTCTGTCTGTTACTCTCCTTGCTGCCTTCCAATGGGTAGTTCCTCCAGTTACAGCCCATACTGGTTCTCTCGATACCCACAGGTTGGAAGGCATAGAGCTTACATTCCTCTCTGCTCGGAGCTCAGTGCTAGGTTGACCCAGTGGGAACTTGGAGCAAGGAACTCCAAGGAAGCAAATGGTCCTTGCTGAAGATGTGGAGGTGACTGTGAGGCAGGGGTCCTGGGAGCTAGGGGGTCTGGCCTGTCTGTGTACTGGGTATGGCCAGGTTAGGGCTATGAAGACCCTAAACCATGTGAGCTTGACTATCCCAGGAAACTGGGTATGGACAGGGTCAGACAGGATCTCCTGAGGAGCAGCAAGCTGTGGGAGCCTCTCATTGCTGCAGAAATATACGTTTTCCTCCACTTCTTCCTCCCTCTGCTCGGGCCTCAGGCCCCATTCCCATTAAGTCCCCAACTCCATCCTTCACGCAATGGTAATGAGAACACCTTATAAGTATTGCTCTGCCTCCCACCTTATAAGTATTGCTGTCTCTCTGCCTTGCTCCCCTGTGGTTGTGCACCCCTCAGAGATGACCCCCAAGGCCTTAGGAAGGCCCTAATAAAGGTCTCAGTCCTGCTTTCTAAGCCGCACCTTTGCTCTATTTGCATGCATAGAAGATTTTTTTTTTTTTTGCCCCGTGACTCTAGTTTTTAGTAGAAAGGTAACTGTCCCCTAGTTGCTGGTTCTGTCTACTCATTTGGGGGTAGTGTGGGTGGGCTCTATAGAGCCCTCCTCCTGCCCCTGTCCTGTGAGTCCAGGCTATCAGCAATTGGCTAGGTACAGATAGAGATCAGTCCTGGGCCTGTTCTTCCCGTACTCGTGCAAAGCAGATGAAAAAAAGCAGGTCAGGGCATGCTTCAGGGAGGATCGGCTTGGGCCAAGCTGAGGTTCTGAGAACCCTATAGACCTTGGGCCAGTCAGACCTGGGGCTAGAGATCCTTGGGCCCCATTCTCTGGGCTAGCTAGCTCTTGAGTTAATGGAGTGGGATAAAGCTAGGACCGAATCAAGTGCCCTGGGGACTCCATGTGCTTCTTCTTGAAATGATTTTTGGACTTGGAAATGTTGTGTTAATATAATTCATCTTTATCAATAAAAAATCAGGACCAAATATTGGGGTAAGAACCTGAAAGATCAGAGAACAGGGAGCAGCCGCCAGTTGCTTCCTACCTCTCTCGTTCCAATATCCAAAAGAGATCCTCTATTTCTCAGCCCTGCCTTGCCACTTCCTGTCTCCTCTCTGTCTATGGTCCTCCAAACCTCGGTGGTTAATTTCTGGTCTGTTAGTGACTGGCCCCGTTCTCTGACTCCAAGCAATCTTTATTTGTCAGAACACAATCAAAATATCATACAACATGTCAGGATGTGGAATCTGGGAGGGTCTTGGATAGGAGCCCCCGAAGAAGGCTCATCTCTGTCCCATGCTGTTCTCTGTTTTGCTAGGTAGTGCTTGGCTCACTGGGATTTGCTTAGGGCAGCTGGAATGCCACAGGAAAGGCCCACTCAGCTCCAGGGCCACCCCCCCCAGTACATCAGATGCAGGGAGAATGGGTGGGTGGAGGGAAGGGAGTGTGATTTGAATCCCTGGGAACAGTACTTAGGTCTCCATGACAGGGTGGTGACGGTGGAGTTGGCAGGTGGGGGAAGATGACTCATTGGGAAAGGTATGGAAACTGCTGGAAAAGCAGGTTTGGAGCTTCTCATGGGCTTGATGGAGTTGTGGGGTCTGGGATCAAAGGGCAGAATAGAGGTGGGGGTCTGAGCCGGGTGTTGGTGATGCACACCTTTAATTCCAACACTCAGGAGGCAGAGATAGGCAGATCTCTATGAGGTCGAGGCCAGCCTGGTCTACAGAGTGAGTTCCAGGACACGCTCCAAAGCTACACAGAGAAACCCTGTCTCGAAAAAACAAAACCAACAAACAAACAAAAAGAAGTGGGGGTCTGGCAGAGAAACCCTGTCTCGAAAAAACAAAACAAACAAACAAACAAAAAGAAGTGGGGGTCTGAGCCTGAGATCCAGAGCAGTGTATGACAGACTTCATGCTCATACCCAGGGCAGGAGGAGGCACCTGCATGTTAGCATGCCCCCAGGGACCTCAGGCTTCATGGTGGCCATAGATCTTGGAGCTGGAGACCGTAGGTGAGGTCCATGGTGGGGTACATGGTGAGGTCCATGATGAGGTTCATAGTGGGAAGGGTATTTGTCCTTGGCAGGATTGCTAGGAGGATGTGTCAGTCAGCTATCCTCAGCTGGGTCCCAGCAGAAGTGTAAAACAGTCACATACCAAATTCACCTTTAGGAGAGAGTGGGTGGCAGGAGCTCTTGGAGTTACTGGGACAGTTAGCAAGAGTCTTGTTGGAGGTGGCCAGGCTAGTACTTGGAGGCAATTCAAGATGGAGTGGGCACAGGAGCCATCACGTCCCTTACACCTGCCTTTTGTACCTCTTCTCATGTGGGCATTCCCTGCTTTGAGGGCACGGGCCCTCCCAGCGCTTGTTTGTAACTCCCTGGGCTGTGGCTGAGACAAGACTTCTACCTTTGAGATGCTGGCAGAAGAATATTGCCCAGGATGTGGAATGAAGGGACTCAGGGCAGGGAATGCTATCACCTGTCTCTCTGGCTTGCCTGCTCCTTGACCTCAGCAGGCTGGCCAGGAAGTTGAGAGACAAATCTGGACCTCTGTCTGGAGCAGAGGTCTCCCTGCTCTTGTCCCTCCCCTTGCATTCATGTTGGTGACACAGAGATCATGAGAATTTGAGAGGCCCAGAGGGAAGGTATATGGGTGCACACAGGCACAGCGTAATACCACAGCCCTTTAGAAAGCTCAGCCCTGGGCCCTTTCCTGGCCTGAAGAGGGCACTCAGTATCAGGTCAAATCCCTAGGCTGAAAGTGTCCAAGCACCTTGGGGTATAAAGACAGGCACAGCTCAGGGCCCCCCAAAGCCGCCTTGTACTTCTAGGCAATTTACTCACTCATTCATAATATTCCATAAGGGCCCACTGTGCTCCAGGCACTACTGGTGTAAGGGGAGAGACAAGAAGGACAAAGATAACCCAGTGCTGTGTGTAATGCACTGCATGAGCATGACAACTAGAAAGGTGGGTGGGGGTACTGAGGCACTGTAGGAGGGCTTACCTAGGTAGATCTGAGTGAGCTGGGACCTGAGGGTAAGTGGCCATCAACTGGTGGAGAGGATACCAGACAAGGGCATCTGAGTCTCCACTTCCCATACCACACCCTAGCTCTAGCTCCTTTTCTGCAAGGCATGCAAATGCTCTGTGAGTCAGGCAACAAAGAGAGGGTTGTTTCCCTGGGGCCTATTCTGTCTTTAATCACACAGGTAAAGCCTCAGATGACACAGAGATGGGCAGAACCTTGGTCAGCATCAGTCAGGAAGAGGAGCCATAGCTGGGCCTGGCCTCAGGGCCTAGGGATCTTCCTCCATACCCCGTTCTTCTAGCATAAGAGTAACCTTTACACATGGAGCCACAAATCTAGACATGGGCGTTGCTCATCTGCTGTCTGGCACCTGGTGTAGCTCTGCCACACCTTAAATTATTCTCTGGGACCCTGGCCACCAGCCCCACCATTCGTCTATCAGCTATTCACTCATGTATCCATGTACTCATTCACTCACCCCTCCATTTCTCCATCACCTGTTTATTATATGCCCATTCACCATACATCATTACATCATCTATCTATCCCCATCCATCCATCCATCCATCCATCCATTCATCCAACAACCACTTATCCTTCCATCCTATCATCTATCCATCCATCCACCCATCCATCCATCTACCAATCCTTTACCGATTTATCCACCCTTGCATCCACCTATCCTCCTATGCATCTACATGTCTATCTGTCCACATATCCACTCACCCATCCATCCATTCACTCATCCACCCATCTTCTACATACCCATCTGTCCATCCATCCATCCATCCATCCATCCATCCATCCATCCATCCATTCCTTAATATGATCAGCCATGCGTACAAGGCAGAGTCCTGATGTGACAGAGCTCAGATTTTCAGGATGTCATTCACTAAAGACAGCAAACTGAATTTTGAGAGATCAAATATGAACAAGGGCAGCAGGTGGAGTGATAGAGGCTGTGTTAGATTGAGTGGTCCAGGAAGACCCAGTGGGCCAGATTTTGAGTTCAGTTGTAGGTTAAGGGAGTTACTCATAACTCTATGATGGGTGATTGCATTGAGTGCTTGCCAGTTTCTCACCTGCACCCCAACAACAGGGTGTGCTCTTGACGATCCCTGGGATACTTCCAGAGCCTCTGAGTGAGTTCCTACCTCACCCACGAACCCCTCCTCTATGACTCAGCGTAGACTTGCTCCCAGTGGAGTCCCACAAGGACTGTGGAAGTGAGGTCCAGCTTGTCCCAGAAAAGGAATAGTAGACCTGCAGCAGCTCTGCCCTCCAGCCCTTGTCCCTAGCCTGTGATCTCCATTGATGTGCTCTGCTATCAGGAGACTAGAAGCTACCCTGACAAAAGAAAGCTGAGATCGCCAAGGGCAGGAGTCCAAGTCAGCAAGGCTGAGGTTAGCCACTCAGGGCCTGTGATACACAGGTAACTGGAAGGATGGGAGAGGGCTTGGGGAGAGAGTCTCCAGTCCTACCCTAGAGGGAAAGGGATGCCTCACCACACTAGTGTTCTATTGACCTGTCTGTCATCAGTGCTATCCTTGGAGCAGGTGGCTGTCCTCGTGTGGCATGACTGGCGTGGAAGGATGGGGCTCCACCCGCTCCTTCATCCTCAGGTGGCTGAGGCTGGATCAAGAGTCTCAGCCAAGTACCCTTAAGGACTCCAATGCTGTATCCAGAGCAAGGGTGTGTTGCCTGTGAGGAGTTTTCATGGTGCTGTAGTCTTCTCTGGGTGTGGGGACAGCCCCAGGGCAGGGAGGAGGGTCCTAAACTGCCCTGCCAGGGAGCTTCACTACTATAATTCTAAGAGCTTAAGAGATCAAGAGACGTGTTATCTGTACCCAGAGTTACATAAGAGCAAGGAATGGCTAGGTCCTTGGGGTGCGGAGATGGCAGCGAGCAAAGTAGAGGATGCATCATGCAAGGTCAGATGGCCAGCTAGGCAGTTGCAAAGGACACAGATAGCACTGCCTTCATTCCAGAACTCTCCACTGACTGTCACAATGGATTTAACCCCAGAGCTGGCCTTCCATTTCTGGCTCCACTATGAGTTGTATCTTAGCCTGAGCCCCGGGGAGTTCTAGTTGCTTCTTCTCCACCCCAGCCTCTGTTGTGCTGGGAAGCCAGCACCTCAACGGTGCCAACAGTGACACTCCCTGTGTGCATCAACCTCTTCCATCTACACCATCTCCAGACCCTGGGGCCCATACCTGGCTGTCTCTACCTCTCAGTCAACCCCATGTCTGTCAAGCTGGGGGGCTGTGGCTACATCTACAGTTCCACCATCTTTCCCTCACTTCTTTCCTAGAGCCAAAGCCTTAGACATAACTGGATGGAGTCCCTTTCCTGCTGACCTAGTGCCCTTAGGGTCAAGCCCAGTCTCCCGTATCCTGCCCGTGAATACTGCCTGGGCTGGCCATTCCACTTTCCACTGACCCTTTCAGGGACTTCACTTTGTTTGCTCCTTCAGGCCCCTCAAGCCACCTCTAAGCCTTGCATGTGCCATGTCACTGTGGGTCAGCAGCTCTGGTACTTCCCCATGGAAGTCTGGACCACCCTCTCCCTGCAGGCCTGTTCATCCCTCTGCTTTGGCAACCCCTGGCATGGATTTGCAGCTATGATGAAGGTTGCCATCTCTTGCCACAGGGCAGGGAAGAAGCTGCTGTCATTAAGGGTTCCACATGTAGCAGGAGACCTGTTTGCAAGAGGCTCCCAAGTGTGCTGAGTCCAGACCTGTGGGCACTCTGAGGAATGGAGAGAGCTCATGTTACCTACACCATCTACCTCCCCAGGGGCCATAAAGGTTGGTTGGGAGCACTCTAGAAAGTTCTATGCACGATGACTTCCTTCTCTGAGACAAAGAAGGGTTCTTAGTTTGGCATGCATCCATTCCCCTGCCCTGCCCAACTTTTGAAAGCAGAACCCTGGGATGTGACACTTATGGCCACAGAATGGGGACTGGCTGCTGTGAAGGGTGAGGCTCATCTGGTTAGACAACAGAAAAGCTGGTCAGACAAGAAAAGGCTCCATGTTCCTGGATGGCTGCCTCTCACAACTCTAGACCTCCAGACTCCATAGAAGTAGGCTGGCCAAGCAAGGAAGACATACAAGGAGGTTCAGGGGATGAGGTATATCCAGTTTCCAGGGGGGTCTTGCTCAGCACCCTCAGCTCCTCAATATTCTCATCCTCTTCACCTTGTCTTCCACAGCAGCAGGTGTGTGATAAGGTGGGATCTGTCTCCACCAACCCAGCTTGTTGCTCCCAAGGCTTCAAAACATTGCCCAGTGTAAACTTCTGATGTGGCCAGTCTTTGAGAGCACGTGAGGCAGGACACTTGTGTCTCGACACTAGGGGATTGTGTCTCTGTGAAGCTAGAAGGCGTCTTCTGGGATGTGTGAAGACACACAGAGAGGTATAGGGGCTCTGGGGCTAAGTGGGGGGTATTAAGCAGGGAATCGGTGGCTGTGTCCTGGCTGGTTGTCTATGGATACAACAGATGAGAAAAGGGAGGCTGAGCTCTGTTTCTGGACTATGGGTGCAGTGTGATCAGATACTCTAAGCTCTGGTTGCCTTGACTTCCTTACCATGATGAACTAGACCTTGAGCTATAAGCCAAAATAAACGCTTTCTTCTGCTGCATTTTATTACAGTGATAGGAAAAAACCAGCAGGGGTGGGAAACAAAACTTTCTAGAGTTGAAGGACTCTGATTTTGCCCTTCAAGAAGAGCCCCAGAGGAGACATGGCATTGGGTGGTCTCAGGGTCCTGGTGATTGTCCATAAGGATGAGGGTTTCCCATGCCACCAACCAGGGGTATGGACTTCTGGGGTCCTGGGGGAACTGTGAAGGATATGAACATCTTGCCAGTACAGTAGCAGCATCAGGGACATCACATCTCAGAAGGGGTATCAGGGGACCCCTGTGAGTACCCCCACTTGGGGTGCGGGAGAAGTCTGTTCCCTCTATCTTGGCCAAGGAGACCCAGTGTAAACACAGGAGGCAGAGTGCAAGGCAGAGGCACCACTCTTGTTCCTGGGTTTCTGCGTTAAGAATTCCACCCTCTTAAGTGCCATGCCTGCCTCTGAGGATGAGACTGACCAAGGACCAGAATTCCCCAAGACCCAACACCTCGGACCAAGCAGACTTACACATTTATTTTTCTCTTAGGACAGCATCAGGGAAGGAGTGGCAAAACGGTGCTTCCAGGGAGACAAAGCGATTTCCCTATGCCCAGAGAGGATGGGCACCTATTCCAATGCCTGACACCAAGCCATAGGTGAGCAGCCTCCTCCACCCCCCACCCCTGCCACAGAGGGCAGTCGGGGGACCTTTTAAAAGTTTGTGTTCAGTTGGACAGGAACTAGTAGGGTTCTTGGACTGAAGAACTTGGCTGACAGATAAAGACCCTGGAAGGCCCTATTAGGCAGACTCTGATGGGTCTGTGCAACTAGATGCATGGGTGTATGTATGCATGCATGGACGGATGAAGGGATGGATGGGTGGATGCATGGATGAATGGATGGATGAAGGGATATATGGGTGATTAAGTGGGTGGATGGACAGAGAGAATATTGGTGGCCATAGAGTACAAAGAACTGGAAGGATCCAGTATCCAAACCTTATAATCACATCACCATGCCAGGGTCACTTCATGCATAGAAGAGGCCCAGAGGTTCAGATGGCCATTTACAGGGTCCTGTCAGTCACGGAGAGGGTAATACAAATGCCAAGCCTAATTTCTGTTGGATGCTCCTGAAATGAGGGTGGAGGGCTTGGGGGAAGACAGCGGCTCTTCACACTGAGGGTTTCTAGGCACTTCCAGGACTCAGCAAAGGTCTGAGGTCTCCTAGAAGTGGGAGTTCTTGGGGAGGTGCATTCTTGTGCCCTGTTGGAGGATTCTCTGAGGCAGGAGGAGAGCTGGGACCTTTGGGGGCAAGTGCTGGTGTGTTTTTTCTTCGAGAGAAAGGAAGACTGAGTGTGTCTTGGGGGAAATGGGGAGAGAGATTAACAGCCTGTTGGATGGGTGTAGGATGCTGCTGAGGCTGCAAACAGATCCCTGATGATAGGGAAAGGCCACCCAAGCCCTCACCAGGCAGCTCGAAGCAGTGCCCACAGTACACTGACAGAGGCACTGGCCCATAAGGCTCCAAGGCTGCTGGTCAGGCCTGAGGCAGCGCTGCGGTTGCACTGGCTGCCCTCACAGCAGAAGACAGAGAGAGCACGACCATCGGAAGACACGGTGCTGTTGGGGCAGGCTGGCGCGCAGGACTTCATAACCAGGATGCCGCCAGGGCTGGCTGTGGAAACAGGAGGAATGGCTATGGGTATTGTGGCCACAGTCCCCACAGATGTCACTACCCAGCCAGCTCTCAGGGGACCTGCAGCCTGGGGCCACATGTTTTGAGGTAATTCCTGGGACTCTGTGTGTTTGAGGTGGCAGCTTGGGGTGTCCCAAAGAACCTTGTGAATGGATGTCCTTCCTCAGTGACTGTGGGGGCATGTCTTCTTTATGATGGGCTAGATTTCATGATATCTGAGGCCAGGGACTTGAAGACTTCCTCCCTCCCTCCCTCTCTCCCTCAGTTTCTGGGTTCCTCAGTTTCTGGGTTCCTCAGTCTCTGGGTCCCTCAGCTCCCTCTATTTTCCCTTTCCTGAGAGATATCTGGTTCTACAATCCTCTCCTCTCTTTCCCCCACCCCTTCCTTCTCATTTCCTCCAGGTTTCAGATACCAGAAGATAGGCTTATCCCCTATTTAGCTCTCACACCTCTTGGGACTGGGGCAGACCAGACAAGACTGAGTGAACATGGGTCCCCGGCCTGTACAGCAGCTCATAGGTTTCATAATCCATGAGAAAATCAGAGGCAGGGCTCACAAGGGCCCCCTGGGTTGAGGGCGTCTCAGGAAGTACCACTGGGCAAGACATGCTCTCTGTGTGCTCAAAAGGGGATGAGTTGCCGTGTGTTTGCACACACACAGTGGGGACAGCAGGACTCTTGAGAACACACGGCCCTTGGAAAAGTAAGTAGCTGCCCTTAACCTGCACTGTTCAGAGATTCTGGGAGCTGTGACTCCAGACCCATGAGCCTGCCTCTGGCCTGCAGTTAGCACAGACACTGTATGAGGAGGTGGGATAACTATCTCAGGATGCTTGATCTTTCTATGCCTAAGTTTTCCCACCTAGAAAACACAGGATAACAAGGGATTTGTGGATAGTTTGAGAGCTGTGCTGATGTGAGGAGAGTGCAGGCATGGTAATCGTTAGTTGGCAGTAGCTAGTGGCTGAGCTCAGTACCACTCTGAACAGCGGTACTTGGCAACACAGGGCACAGAGGTTCAGAGTGGATTGCAACTGCTTCTGGACAAAAGAGAACCCAAGTTCACTGGCAGGTAGTGCTAGTGGCCATAAGGACATAGCCTGGGGCAAAAGGGACACTAAACTTCATATATTGCAGTAAATGCCTAATTCTAAAGTAGGGACCTTTGCTGTTCCAGATGAGACAAGAGAAGTTGTTTCAGCGGCTGTGTGTGAAGAATTTCTAGGAGATAATGGACACTATAGCACAACCATCTTCTCAGGGTTTAGAGAGATAAAGTTCTACACTGGTAATCAACCTGTTTTCTCTCTCCCTGGAAACCCAGCAGCTAGATGCTTCCCCAACCCCATAGGACTGGCACACAGGGCTTGCAGCAGACCACTAATGTCATTGCACCCCTTTTCTTCCTCACCTTGGGGCCAGGGAGGTTCTTGGCCTGCCAATGTCACTTCACTAGACAGGGGCAGGCACAGATGCCTCTTTCTATCCACAAAGGACTCTCCTACCCAAAGCTCTTGTCCCCTACCCATGTTGCTTCTCCAGGAAACTTCCTGCTGCCTTCTTAAGGCTATATTTCAACTCTGCTGGACTGTGACCTTTGAGGTCCTGGAGTACAGGAATGACTCCATGTATCTCAGTGTTCCTACAGTCAGCAGACAGCCAGGGAGATGGATGGAGAGACAATAGGCCAGATAGACACATGCTCAGCAAGGGGCAAATGCCATCAAGGGCAGGGACAGGACAGGAGCCCAGGAGTACCTGAGAGAAGCTCTTGTGCAGGGATGGAGCTTTGGGGCACTCTGAGTCCCGGGTACTTTCCCTGGAATTACTGTTTTCTGTCTTGATCTCAGAAGGGCCCCTCTGCTATGCCTTTGCTGGATTTGGTCCTGATGCGGCACTCACCCATTGCTGGACAAAGATTCCCATCCTCACTGCTCTTGCCTTGTGCCCTGGGAAATTGTGGGCCTACATCCCACTAGTTGTTTGCCTCTTGCAGCATTACTTGGTTAACTAAAGGCAGCTGCCTCTGGGAAGGATGCTCTGCTGCAGAGTGAGGAGGGTCTTGGAGGCAGTGGAGGAGTATATGATGTTTCCTCCTAGAGTCCTCTGAGCCAAGCAGCATAAGAACCAGCCAGGGTGTGGACAGGAGTATCACATAGGGTCTGGGCTGGGTGAGTGCGTGACTCCACCAGGACACAACCTCTTCATAAAATAGGGATAGCTCCAAGTCTGAGCTAGAAGTGCCTGTGCCACCACTGAGATTTGTGGGAAACTGTTGTGATGGACAGACCAGGGTCACTGTGAAGCCACCTGGTTTCCTTCCCCTGGTCCCAGAATAGGATCTTGGAAGAAGCTGCCCAGTGATCATAGCAACTTCCATTCACGGGGGCCAATGTCCTCATGACCCAGTTCCAATGGCAACAGCAAAGAGAGTACCCCCAAACCCTTCTAGACCTAGAGCGACACTGTCCACCTGGATCCTCAGAGTCTGAAAGGTTTGTCAACCTCCCTGATACACCCATGCTTTCTTCTGGGAACACTTCAGATAAGTGACTCCCTGTCCCCAGCTACACTCCAGCACCAAGCCTGAACCCCATTACAGCTACCATCGTAGCCCAACACACAAGCTCTAGGCCCCAGCTCAGCCCCACTGCTCAGGAGAGAACCAGATGCACAGTGGGACATAAAGGAGAGGGCCTGGCCTGGGAAAGGAGAGTACCCGTCAGCGGCAGGATTGACTTCTAGAGTAATGGCAGGGTACCCAGGGGCAGAGGCTATGGCCAACTGATTGGAGGCAGGGATCTCGGTGAGCAGGAAGGGCTCAGAGGCGCCTGGGAGAGCATGGTGTGATGTTGGTATCTTTAAGATGCCAGCCTATACCCAACCCTCCTCCCACTTAATCTTTAGCCTAGTTTAAAGTGTGGACTAGAGAGTGATAGTGTCCCTAGAGTCTGGAGTGGGGATACCAAGCGCTTCTGATGTAGAGGATGGAAAGAGGTCAAAGGGGGCCAGAAAATGCTTGTGTGATGCTGGTGGGGTGGGATGGGGCCTGCGTGGCCCAGGGTACTCACTGGACCGAGTGATCACACAGAACTTGTCCGTCAAGGCGCACTCCACGAGAGACTCGCAGTTCTCGTGCCCACAGCACACATGGCAGTGCAGGGCCCGGGCTGGGGGGAAGCACAGGCCATCAGTCTGGGCTGGGGCTGGGGCTGGGGCTAAGTGCCCAGCTGCCTGCCTAGTGGCCCACACAAGGTCATGCGCTCTGATCCTCCTCTCCCTGCAGGAGTTCCCTCTGGGAGGGTCTGAGAAGCTAGGGACTTCTTGGTAGTGATTCTGAGAGTTCCTCCCTCTGTTCCCTCTGGCCCTGTGTGTGTTGGTATCAAAGTGTCAGCTTGAGTGACAGGCCGGTGTGGGGTGTGATGGCATGCTACCCTAAGGCTAGACTCAAAGGTCTTCTGTCTAAAGCTCCCTCTCTGCTCTGTATTGATCTCTCTGTTAAGGAGATTGGGAACATTAGTGAATAGCCTTGTCAGCTAAACCAGGAGATCAGATGGATAGGTAGATGCATGTATGTATATACATATGAAGAGTCGGGTGGATGGATGGTTGTGTGGATGGGTGGGTTAGAGAAGGGGTGAATGGATGGATAGAGGGAGAGATGAATGTATGTACCGTTGGATGGGCAGATGGGTGGGTAGAAGGTTGAAGCATGGATGACTAGATTGACAAATGGATTGATGAATAGGTGTGTGGTTATATGGCTAGACAGACAGGTGAGTGAATGAATGCATGTGTGAGTGGATGAGCAGAGGAATGGATGGATAGGTGGTTGGGTGTGAAAGAGTGCATGGAGGGATGTGCTCGTGGGCAGATGGATGTTTAGATGAATACATAGGTAGATTGATGGGTAGGTGCATGAATGGAGGAGAAAAGGTGGATTGTGGGAAGGATGGAGCAGTAGGAAGCAATATAAAGAGGGCTGATTTAGAATTTCTAATCCTTACTATCCCTACTGCAATCCATGTTGTACTCACCTCTAACATGGGAATAACAGTGTTCTCAGCTTTCTCAGATAGCAAAATGACAAAATTCCTAATGCACAAGGCTCCTAGCCCTTCCTTCCTAGAAGAGGACTGAAGGGAGCTTCAAGGGCCAGGGACAGCTGGCTTCCTAGCCAGGGCAGACTGGCTCTAATGACTTTGTATCTCTAAGCATCAGTCGGCACTTAGATGCTGTTTATCTGGAGGGAAGGAACAGCCTGACCCTGCCCCATTCTGCCTAAGGCCTGCTGGCAGCCCACACCTCCAGGCTGAAGGCTGAAGTGCTAGGGAGAAGGCAAGCTCTAGAGACGGATAGCTCCAGATACTGTGTCATTGGTCACAAAATCTGACAGACCCTTGAGAGAACACAGGCTACCTAGGCATGGCTGATTCAGTGAGCAGCGAGACTCCTGTAAGGGCAGCTGAGGCAGCAGGTACAATGATTACTCTATGGTGACTCCTGAGAGGCAACATGGTTTGTGAGTGGGTACAACAAGGCCCCACATCTGAGCCCACATGGGTGGATTTCTATGTATGGTTGGGAACAATTTCATCGGTCAAAGGTGTGAGGCTGCAGAGACAAGGCCAGCTTGGAGACTTGCAAGGACCCTTTAGCTGCCACAGGACATGCTAGGGGTTCTGTGTGCAAAGGCTGGGTTGTTGGACAGATGTTTTTGTGGCCAGGCTTTGGGAGGGGTGTCTTGCAAGGAGTGTCTAGTAGGAGTTTCATTTAAGGGTACTGAATAGCAGATATGTTTGGTAGAAGTGTCTTGCAGGGGGCAGGGGAATGTCCTTTAGGAGTTTCCCTGTATGGGTGTCAGGTAACAGGTGTCCTTGGCAATGCACACCTGCTTGGACAGAATTAGATGGTCACACCTCCCACATAAGAATCATCAGTGTTGAAGTTGTGGTGGCCCTGTGTTCAGAGTTGGGAGGTGTCAGGTTAGGATCTCTGGAACCCTCAGGAAAAATGACTTCCCCATTGGCAGGGTCTCCTGGCTATCCTCTCCCGTTCAGTACCTCTGCATACTAGTCCCCAGTCCTGTTTGTCTGGGGAGACATTCCTAGGTTATTCTAGACAAGAACCTCCTAGTACCTCCGTTTCCTCATTGTGGTCCTCAGAGACCCTCTGCCCTAAGAGCTGGTGAGAGTTCCTGGGCTGTTCTCCTTAAGCCTTCAGAGGCCCAACAAGTTTCCAGCAGGCACCATCCTGCAAGAATGCTATAAGGTCAACCTCTCAGGAAAGCTGAGCCTTGAGGACAAAAGTGTCCCAGCCAGTCAGTGTCCCCACCTTCTGACTCAGCCCTCCCACCTTCCTGCCTTGTAGCTGCTTCCTGCCTCCAGGGTTGCCATTCCTGATTGGTGTCCTTGATCTGAGACCTTTCTTGCTTCTTCCTTGTGTTTTAAGCAATCTCCCAACCTGACCCTGACCTCCTCCTTGCTCTCCAGGCCAGCCTCCAGCCCTCATCCACTGTCCCCCCATCGTCCTACATGAGCACCTGGTGGCTAGACTGCTGCCCAAGGCTGTTTTCCTTTTCCCTCCACCCCCTCCCCAAGCTCAGGGGAAACTGATGGGGTTAATTATCCTGGAGATGATAATTATTCTACTGTTAATCACAGGCTGAAGTACCTCCCTCCCACCCCCGGCCTCATTTCTATCCCTAAACCAGGTCATCAGGGTCAGGGCAGAGTGTGTTGGAGAGGTTGACCCATGCAGTCTGTCTTGCCCATGTCCTTCCTTCCTTTTCTAGCACCCAAAATCCTGCATTCCTGAGCAACTCATCCTGGGAAGAGGGAGAATAGTTGGCCATTCTCGCTAAATCCCAGGTCCCAGTACTCACAAGTGGTACCCAGGGTACTTCCCCTTCTTGCACCTATGGCTTCTCACTCTAATTTTTACTCCCCCACTACACAAAGAGCCAGAAAGGTACCACATAATATCTAAAGGGAAGAGGATTCTGAATTTGGGTGGCCAGGGAGCTACTATAGGAGCCTCTTTCTCACTCCCTGCAGCCTCCTCAGCAGGCCAGTGCTCCAAATGGTACCTTCTCTCTCAGCTCAGAAGCCCCACCTGTCCCATGCTCCCGAACCCTTCCCAGAGGCTGCTTGCCTCCCTTCAAACCAGGTGCAGCCAGTGTCTTACCCAGAGAAGTACACACAACAGCCAGCAGCAACACCACCAGGAGGGTCCTCATCTTGAATGTCCACCAGCAACTGGCAGCCACCAGGGAGAGGGTGCCTTTATAAGGCCAGTGAGTGCCTGGGAAAACCTGGTAATTTGGCTGGAGGATGAGCTTGGGGTGGCAGGGCTGGCCTGACTCATGTCCTCCAGGCTCCCTCAGCAACACCTCCACAGTGCCCTTTGACCTGCCCTTTGGTGCAGAGCCAGAAGCCTCTCTTCAAGCAATTACCAGGAGACCCCAGCTGCATCAGGGAAAAGGAAGGGGGTCTGCAGCGACAGCCCTGTCTTGTAGTCTGAGAAGAATGTGGCTTTCCCCTGGGGGTCTCTGAATATCACAGTCCCTCCCCTCCTGCTTTCTCCCTCACATCAGGCAGTCAGAGAGACACCAAACACAATTTAATGGGAGAAACTAGAGTACTGTGGGCTAATCTGGCCCCTTCAATTTTAATATATGTACAGTTCCTGAGGACCAGGTCAAAAAGCTAATTCTAACCTGGAGGTCAAGGCTGAGGTTCCACCTATATAGGCCAATCTGGATCAAGGAGCTTCATCAGGGCACAGACTAGGTGCACTGACAGCCTGGTGCATATCCCATCCCTGCATCTGGATCCCACCTTGGGAGCTGTGCAAAGCCCAGGGTTCCCAGGGGAGACAGGAAATGACTTGTACTTATATTATGGGTCTTGATGAAGTCTGAGGCTGAGAGATGGGATCTCACATTTCTTACCATCTCTCCTGTCCCATTCTATGGTTGCCCCTGCCCAGGCCTCTCCATGCCTAGACCTCCTGGTCTCCCCTGCTTTATGTGTCTGTCCAAGTGGATTCTGACTCCCTCAGCCCTTAGTATGGGGCATGCTTGTACCTTTAGACCCTCATCCAGGCCCATCCTTGTGCCCAGAACATACCCTCTCAGGAAAATCACCTTTATCAAAAAATTCTTCTTAGGCCCTGCTCTGGCCTGTGCCTAGGAGGTGCTTACACAGCCCCAGAACCCTTTCTAGATGTCTTCTAGAGGTTTAGAGATGCAAGAGCCTATTTTCTGTCTCCCTTGGGTCTGAATAAAGATCCTGGGGGCCTTACTGGGCTGCGAGTGACAAAGGATAGTGGTGGAGCAAAGGAAGGAAGTGAGGTTGCATACCCAGGAAAGGGAGGCTGGAGTCTGCTCCTGGGGGTAGGGAACTGACTCTCTCACCTCCCCACCAGGGTTGTAGAGTCAGACTTTGACCTTACATCATGTGGTCCAGGCAGCTCTGCAGTCTTATTTGAATGGTTTCTCAGATTCTTTAGAACCTTCATGGTTTGGGGCATATTTGTTCCCACTTTTCTCAGCCTCTAAATGGCAAAGAGGAACTGACCTTTGTCAGGAGCCTACAGAGTGCTCTGTGAGAACTGTGGGGATCTGGTCTCTGACCAGTTTCCTGTCACAAGGGCCTTCATATGCTGCATACCAAAGGTAGTGTTGGCTGTGACCCCTGGTGTTCTCTAGCCACTGTTCTGCTTACCCACCTCACCAGATCATGCCCCCTCTGAGCTTGGAACATCCTACATGTGGGAAGGATTGTGAGTGAGCTTTCAGGGTCCAGTGGCACATAGCAGCCTCAGCCCTCCCTGGTCTGGAGTTGGGACTCAACTTCCCGGGATGCCATCAAGCTATCTGCCAAGTCTTGGTGTCTCCTTGTTCTGCTAGCCAGCCAAGTAGGAATGGTGTGATGGACCAAACCACCAAATGCTAGCCAGAAGTGCATGGACCCCAGAGAAAAAAAGAGGTAGACCCAAGGCTGTACCTGTAGATTTTAACACTTCTAATGGGTGGACCCCAGATGGGCACCTCAGTACAGGAGACATTTTACCTCCAGGAATATGTAAACTGCCACTGCCACCTCAAGTGATTTGATAGGACAACATTGTTTTCTCTCCTTCTAACCTGGATGGACCTGCTTCTTAGCCTCTCTCCATCCCTGAACCCATGAAGCTATGGGGCTCTGTGTGAAAGAAAAAAGGGAGCAGAGGCATCAGGAGTGGGCAAAATTGATACCCCTGTTCTAGGCAATGAGCCAGCTTCTTGGTACCAGTCTGGGAACCCTTGATGCAGAATACAAGCCCAGGGGCTTGGGACGGTGCCTGTGTGCACGCACGTGGTGGGACCCACATTCATAGAAGTGATCATGGCCAGATGGCAGCTGGGCCAGGGGCCAGTGGCACTTCTTGGAGAAGCTGCAGGGCGTATGCACTCTAGAGTGTGAATGGAATCTTGAATGGAAGAAGAAAACTAGCCAGTGTGACTCAGAAACAGGCCAGGATCTCAAGAGCTCTGTGCTGACAATGTCAACAGGGTGGCTCTCAAGTCAGGGTAGATAATTTGGAGATCTGCAAGGACAGTGTGTCCCCTAAGAAGGAACTGATGAATTCTGGCCCCAACCAACCTGAAAGGGCTTTTAAGAGGCAAAGATTCTGTAGCCTGCATGGGGTGAAGTGCTCCACTGCCTGCCAATGGGAAGAGGATGCCCATAGGGTAGGAGCCACTGGAGTTGGGCTGGTATGCAGAGGCTGCAGCTATCTGTGAAGGCCTCTTGTTAAGCTAATGAGCCACCCGAATCCCACTGCCATGCAGTCGGATGGGTGCTAGTTATAGCCTAGACTCTCTTAGCTAGTCCATAATTAACATTTATCTTTCTAGCCTGGCATTAGCCTCCACTCCCAGAAGCCAACAGGGGATAGGACTGCCACTCATGGGAAGTGCAGGGCAAATGAAAGAACCTGGCATGGGCCAACCATCTTTGCCAGTCCAGAGGAGTTCAAGTATATTTCAGAAGAATTCTGGCTCCCTGTCAAGAGCCCAAGACCTCCCTGTGAACTAAGGGCCTAGGTCTGTTCTTGTATACTCTGAGACCCTGGCTTCCACCTTGCCCTTTTCTACCTGTGCTGGGAACTTGGCAGAGTAGCCCGCTCACAGTGTCTGAAGTCACTCTATGAGAACCAGGCTGGAGACCCGGCACAGCAACCCAGAGCTTCATTCCACATGCTAGCTTCCAAAGTTTAAAGCCCGTGTGTAAGCTAACTCGATGCTCAAGTATGACCCATGCCTGTCCACTTATTCACAATGAGTCATCCCTCAGTTGCTTACAATGTCCCATCCAGTGGAAATGCTGTGAAAATTGTTATACCTTGTTAAGGGAGCAGCAACAAAGGAGGCCTGGGTGTTCAGATAGATCCCCCCCCCATACACCATACACACACCCAAGAGTTTTGGTTCAGGTGAGTTGGATGCATAGAGGTAGATAGTGAGAGCCAAATGCATTTTAGAAGCCACAACTCAGGCACTTGTGTGTCCACAGATCTTCGGCCTGCCACCTGCTGAGCCCAAACCACACCCCCCCAGACCCATTCAGACCTGCCAGGGCCTCTCTCAGGCATAGTTGACAAGCCAGTAAGGAGAAAGCGGGCCCCTGAGCATAGTGACCTTGCTAGTTAGTGAACGATCTGGAGCTTAGGCAGCATAAAATCCCTGCTCCCTTCACAAGGGGTAAACTGAGTCTGAGTGAGCTGGGGCTTTCAGCTGGCAGATAAATCCTGGGATTGGGATTTGAGAAGGTGGGCTTGGGATGGTTTCCTGTGGTTCCTGTATCAAGGTACCCAATAGGGGACCCTTGTTCTCAGGAAAAATAGGATAGTTTGGGAGTGCAGGGCCTATACTGGGATCAGTTAGAGTAAGTTCAAGAGCCCTAGGGGAGAGATAGGGTCTTGGGAGACACCTACAGTCAGATACCTGCACTCACATGCACCCACACTGCAGGGTGTTAGGCCTGTCCTAACCCCTTTTTGTAATCTGAAAGATCAAGATCAATAATAATATTGATGGCAAATAGTGGGCCCCACCAGGTAGGGCTTGCAGACTGAACAGAGAGACTGATAGATAACCTGGACAAACAGGCAGCATGCCCTCCCAGTGCTCTTGACTCCTGATATTGCTCCGTCGTGAGAGAAATGAGATTTCTGGGAGAAATGACTGATTTAGAGGTCAGACAGGGAAGACTGTGATGAGCACAAGGCACTTTTATTCAGATATCTGTTTTCAGATGTAATTTACATGTCCATGCTTTATTCCTTCCATCCCTTGGGTAGCCACAGCTCTCACCAACATCTGTGTCTGCCCCTAAAACATATCCGGTCCCATCAACAGACTCCCACCTCAGCCCTTGGAAACCCATGGCCTATTTTGCATTCCTAATGATTTGCCTCTTCTGCATGTTATATGTTGTTGGAATCATATAACACATCGACATTAGTTCACCCATGTTGCAGCATGTGTTAGCACATCAATCCTTTTTTTTATAATAGAGTAATCTTCTCTCAAATGGACTGGGCCACACTGTGCCCACCATGAGCCAGCTGATGAACATGAAGTTATTCAGCATCAAGAGGGACCAGCAGTTAAGAAAATGGTAAAAAGCTGGATGTGGTGGCCTGTTCCTACACTCTCAGCACTTGGGGGGCTCATGTTTCTAAACCCAGAGTATAGCTCAGTGGGAGATCACTTGTCTAGCATGTACAAGACTCAAGAGTCAATTCCCAGTACCGCACAAAATGATAACTAACAACCAGAGGGGGAGATCCATCTATATATGAGAATCCCACGTGAAGTACCTAGTTAGGTGGCAGCCTGCCTGGAAAGAGAAGAGCCCAGGTGGCATCTCAGTTGTGGCTGTGTTCAGCTTTAGAGCATGCCTCAGGAACACCAAAGGACACGTGGAGGCAGCTGGTTTTCTGGGGACCTAAATCAAATACTGTAGAAAGCCTTGCAACCAAGGAGCTACCAGAAAAGCATGTTTCTTCTGCTTCTTCCTATCTTCTCAGAAACAACCTCCCCAGCCCAACCCTCCCACCACACTGAGGGACATCCCACCATTTGCTCACAAAGATCCTAGGAAGTCAAGCAACATCTCTAGTCACCTCTTCCCAGGGGGAACTTAAGGGGTCATGAAGACTAAGTGTTAGGGGCTGTCAATAGGATTCTGCAGCAGAAAAGAGACATTTAGGGAAAACCAAAGAAAATTGCACAAAAACATGGGCCAAATGATGATTCATTAACCTTAATGAACAGACCACAGGAATCTAAAACGTGGGGGTAGGGAAAGTCGAGGGTAGGGAATGTGGAAACATGTAGCTACACTGTCTTTGCAAATTCTTTGTGAATCTACGACCATTATAAAAGGGAAAGTTGATATTAAAATATTGCAATGCCTACGGAAGGCCAGGGACTCAAGGTGTGTTGTGTCCTCAAATGAGCTATGGGGCAACTGCCACCTTTCTCATATTCAAACAGAGTGGGAGTGGCTGCTGTCCTGGCAGCCAGAAGATGCCTCGGGAGTGGTTTTGTTTTGCAGGCAATGATAGGATCTCTCCAGCAACCTGAAGAAGGTAAAGAAATTGTTTGTTTTAGCAGATAAGATGCTGAGATAATGAAGCAAAGGCCACAATTCAGGCCATCACTCATTAATCCATAATGATTACCCTGGCTTCCAGGTATGCTTGAACCCGGGACTTGGTCACCCTGGCCCTGACCTTGGTCACACCCTAAGCCCCTATCCTGGTCACAGGTGAGCTCTGATCTTGGTCACAGCTCTTGTCACACACTGCACCTTGATTTTGTTCACACACAACTGAGCTCTCTGATCTTGTTTGTATTCTGAGTCCTTATCCTGGTCACATACTGGCCCTGATCCTTGTCACATAGAGCCCTGACCTAGGTAACAGAGATTAAGAGTTGCCGTCTCAGATCTCAGAACAGAGCTTGGGAGAAACAAAGTGTATAGAGTAAGTACCCCACAAAGGGTCAAAAAGGCAGCTGTGATTTAGATTATAAGATTGCTTGAAAGTTAGGCAGTTGAGGGGATCCGGGAGCTTATTCTGGCCAACTTCATTTCATCCCTCATTTCAATCCCACGTATTACGTCTTGACTGCCCATTGTCTTCCTGTAAGGGTGGACACCAGCTTCCCCCAGCCCATCTTGGGAGAGCCTGTCTTGGTTCTAGGTTCACTCAATGCTACAGTTGCTACACTGGCTCCTGCCTGCCCAGGCATGTCCTGGCTGCCCACTCCCTGAGCATTGCTGGTTCCTAGTGGGGAGACAGGGGCGGGGAGGCAAGAACACAGATAATTTGTTTCAAGTGCCTGGGGCGGCTGGCTGTACCAGTCCTGGTCCTGGGAAGCAGGACTGGTATTTTTGCAGTAGACAGCTGTGTAAACAATGACATTCTGCCTGCCCTCCCAGTTCCTAGTACTTTGGGGGGTGACCTGACAGTTGCCTGATGCACAGGCAGTTCCTTCAGGGCAGAAAATTTGGTGAATGAGGCTGTGTCTTAGGGGACATTTGCCTGAGTTTCTTTCTCAGGTCATGGTACCCATCATGGTTCTTTCCCCATTGCCAGATAAAAATGTTGGCACCTTCTGGGCAGGGCACTGGGTTTCCCTGCTTAGCATGGGGCTCAGGGACAGGTGGTGCCAACAGAGTAAGGCTCCCTCTAGCACCTCCTGCTGGCCAAGCAGAAGCATGCCTTGTAGAGCTGTTGCCAGAGCCGTGCTCAAAGGCTGGGTGCAAAGCTTGGCAACCAGCACCCCAACTGGGCAACTATGGCTCCTTCAAACTTCGGGAAATGATGTCCCAAGAGGTTCCCACTACCTCCAGATGATGACTGTAATGGTGATACTGCCCAATCTGTTTTCTCAATAGAGGTGAGTCTGAACAAGTTTCCCACAGGGCTGTGAGGCCTATGTCCTACAACGGTGGCCTGCTCAACAATGCATTTCCTTCATTGTTTCCTTGGACATGTCCCTTCATGCATAAGCCACTTGTTCTGTCACCTTCATTTTATGATCAGATTCCAGGAGAACCAGGACTCAGCACCTACAGAATCTGCACAGAGGTGCAGGCATAGCAACAGCAGCAGACATAATTCCAGGAGTTGCCAGAGGTCTCCAGGTGGGACACAGATTCTCTCTGTGTGTACCTAGAGGATCTAGGGACCAGGTTGCCATGATATAAATATGGGTTGAGTGTATCCCCCGAGCCTCAAATGTTGGAAGCCTAGTTCACAGTAGTGATGCAAAGAGATAGCAGACTCTTAGACACTGGAAACAGATCATTGAGAGTACTGCTTTCAAAAAGAATTAAGGTAGGGCTGGAGAGATGGCTCAGCAGTTAAGAAGACTGGCTGCTCTTCCAGAGGACCCATGGTTCAATTCCCAGCACCCACATGGTGGCTCCCAATCATCTGTAACTCTAAGTCCAGAGGATCCAACATCCTCTTTTGGCCTTCAAGGACACAAGACATGCATAGGGTGCATGGGCACACATGTAGAAGAAATATATGTACACATAAAAATAGATAAATAAAAATTTAATTAAAATTTAAAGCAGTTCTCCTGGTAGCCTACTTAGTTCTCACAGTGTGGATTGCTGTAGAAGAGCAAGGCTAGGCCCTAAACTGCTCTGTTTCCTATCTGGCCATGTGATCATTTTCTCTTGTATATAATCCTGCCTCATGGAATCTACCAGAAGGTGACTTTGCTATGGCAGTGCCCCCGCCAGCAGGGCTGCAACGAGGACCCAAACCTCAAAGGACCTGGAATGTAGGAACAAGAGACAAAGAAACAGACAGCAAGACAGGATCTCTGATCAAGCTGCAAAATTTTATTTTTCTCAGAGACCTTATATAGTGGTTGAGGCAGGAAGCTTGGCAGGGCGGGGATTCCTCAGGGAAAGGCCGTTGCCTGGTAACCAAACCTCAGAATGTCCCTGTGCTTGAGTCCTTGAAGGGAAGCAGAGAGTGCAGGTGTAGATAAAGCAGGATGCAAGCAGGGTGGGGGAGTGCGCAGGAGGAAGGGTTGCTAAGTAACCTGACTGTGGAATGTTTCTTTCTTTGCTGTTATCTGTTTCTGTAAGCACAGGTGCTATTTATCAGGAAGTTGGGGAGTGAAGGATTGATTGGGACTGAAGGTAGCCATTCTTCCAACATAATGCACTACTCCAAAAATTTTGGTTCATGGGTGTGTCACTGGCTTCTGGACTGTCGTGCCAGGAGTGATCATTGTTGTATGAGACCTCTTGTAAAAGATTGCCAGCATTTTTTGGAGTAGCCCATTATGTTGGACCTTCAGTCCCAAACCCATGAACCAAAGAACCATAAGCAAAAATATTTTCTTTATAAAGGAGAGTGCTTCAGAGATAAAATGTATTACTTGAAATATGCAATATCCCAGTGTGATAAACATACAAGGCTCAATGCAGCAAATGCCACCACTCTAATTGGTTGTCAACAGACCTCACTGATGTTTCTCACATCCACAGGGAACCATATGTTTGGACACAAATGGCAACTGGCATTTTTGGAAGTGAGGAGACACAGACAACACCTGTGGGAACCCAGGTGAATTCTTTGCTGAGCTGGACAGAAGTTTTCAACTCTGGAAGAGCAGTTTGTGCTTTCACAATGTAAGCCCTCCAAGAACATGGATTTCTGCATTATTAATATGCTCTGTCACATGTGTATATGTGTACATGTTGTGTGGGCACATGTGTGGGGGTGCACATGTATCTAAAGACTAGAAGTTAGTACTGGATGACTTCTTTGGTGACTTTCCACCTTTGCCATTGTTACGGGGGCATCCCTTGCCAATACTGAAATGTCCACGGATCCAAAAAGAGCCATGAGATAAACCACTCTGGAGATGGTTTAGGGAACAGTGTCTACTTTGTTGCACCAAACCTACCTCAGAGTGAACAGTGAGCTCTCAGACCACCAGTGTCTCTATGCAGAAGGAGCACTTTACAGGACACACGGACAGTGCAGACTTGTCCACTAGTGGCCAGTTACCAGCTACTCACGCTACTTCAGTATTCAGTGCTCTGACTTCAGGGGTATGGTGTGCCATGCTTCATATTTTTAGAAGCTCAGTGTGCCAAATAGGCTGGTCACCAGGTCATGCCTGCATTTTCTCCTGTGTGACTTACATTTTAAGATTGGTTTTATTTTAATTTTATGTATATGGGTTTTTGCCTGCATACATGTATGTGTAGCATGCCTGCTACAAAAGAGGGTACTGGAACTGGAGTTAGAGACAACTATGATCTGTCATGTCATGTGGGTACTGGGAACCCAATGCCAGTCCTTTCCAAGAACAGCAAGTGACCTTTCCCACTCTTCAGCTACTTTTCTTTTAAAAACAGTCTCCAACAAAAGTTCCCCGATTCATCTAGGCTGGCTGCACAATTAGCTCTAGGGACTTCCCAGTCTCCGTCCTACCCATGTGGGAGTTACAGGATATGCATCCGACATAGCTTGTACCATTATGCTGGACATCTAAACCCAGGTCCTCAGGCTGTGTTGCAGGCACTTTATGGATTGAGTCAGCTGCCCAGCTCCCTATCGCCTTCTTATGTCTAGATGATCAAAAACCAGTTAAGACCAGATTTCAGTATTTGTCTATTTCTGCAGCATCTTCATTTCTATTGCTATGACAATGACGATGACTTGTGTGGGAAAGGGTTGAGTTTACCCTAAGGCTTACCATCCTTCATTAAAGGAAGTCAAGCTTGGAAGTCAAGGCAGGAACCTGGGAGAAGGAATTGAAGCAGAGACCATAGAGGAATGCTTGCTCCTCATGGCTTACTCAGCCTGCTTTTTAAAATATCTATTAGGACCACCTGCCTGGGGTGGATGGCACTGCCTACAGTGGACTGAGCTCTCCCACAATAATCATTAATCAAAAAAAAAAAAAAAGAAAAAAGAAAAGACCCTGTATGGGACAGTAAGCCACACCTGTTAGAGGTTGGCTACAGGTGTGCCGGCTAAGGCCTGTTAAGGCATGGTCAGGGTGAGGTCAGGATGACACCGAATGGGCTCTTAAGAGGCCACAGAGCACATCGAAGCCCCTTCTCCTTCCCCTTCTCCCTGGCCTTGCTGCTCAGCTGCCCTGGGCACGCTCTGGCTTGCGTTTGGCTGGTATTCATCTCAATAAAGATATCTTAAACCCACAGGCTCACGTTTTACCTGGCGCCCAACTGAAATCCACAACCCACTCATGCTCCGTGCAAGCCCCATTCTGGGAGGACCTTTGCTTGAGGAGCCGAAAGGCCAGAAAAGGCCCCACAGCCCAGAAGCTACGCAAATCGAGAGGGCTTTAGGATCTGCTACACTTTAGGTTTCCGAGTTGCTCCGACCCGCCAGTGAAGGAAAACCCACAGCCTTGCACCCTGACCCGACCTCCAGCAAAAACAGTGAGTTACCGCCTTGCTCGCCACCCTGTGCTCAGTTGCTGCCTGCCATCCACCCGGCTGGGAGAGTTTAAATCTTCCACAGGCCTCTCTGCTGGTTTTACTGCTCCAGGCAGCAATACTGCACTGCAGCTG